TTTAAATTATTCAACAGAGTATTTATAACTTTTTTTTTTAGAATACCCTTGAAGGACAAATTAAAATAAATAGACAAATTAGACCACTTATCTATAGATATAGATTTTTTTTTTAAATATTGAAAGTTACATAATTTTGTTTTCCGTCCTTTTTTTTTTTTTAAAATGATACAAGTGAGTAATGCCTAAGATTTTAAATTATTAGAAGAGATTGACTTAAATTTTGAGGAATCTCGAGTCCTTTTTTTTTTCGGTGATGGAAGTGTCCACAATGGCCGATTCAATAAATGACGAGTGGGGACCATGATTTTTGAATTTAAATTTCATATTTATTTAAATTTTGTCCCTATATAACTTTGAAATTTTGTGAACGAAACGGAACAATCTCTACAGTAAGTTTGGTTTTTACTTTTGTAAAACCCGTTTTTAATTCTAATATACATATTACATTTTTTTGTGATTTTTATTTTTATACAAGGAGATCTGTTAATTTTTAAAAGTTTTACTAGAAGGGAAAATAAAAGAAATAAAAACTGATGGGTTTGCATGTAACTAAGGGGAGAAATTTGAGCATTTTTACAACATATAGCTAATGTAGCGGGGTCATGGTGAGAATAAGAGAATTTTGAGGTTGTTTCATAATACAAATAAGTTGTTTTATATATAAACTAGGTTGTTCGCTCAAAATGAAGAAGAAAAGAGAAAAACCCGTAAAGAAGAAATGAAGAAGAAGCAAAGGAAAAGGAAAAACAGAAGAGAGGGAAGAATGAGTTTGACCAGTTTTATCCATCTGATTTTTCTGCACTTGAATTGATGGTACTTGAAAATCAGGTTGAGACTTATGTTATTGACATGCATTATTGTGATGAATTTGCTGAGTTACAAGGAATTTGTGATTTGGCTAAGAATTTAGTTTGGTCTTAAAAAAACATTTTGTGTTGTTGGTGTATAAGCTTGTGAAACTTGTATTGGTTTTACCAGTTACGAATGCGACCGTTGAAAGGGTTTTTCCTGCAATAAATCTTGTGAAAAGTCGGTTACGCAATTGAATGAGAGATAAATAGATGAATAATTGTTTGGTCACATATATTGAGAAAAATGTATTTGATACAATTGACGATGAGATGATTATCCAACGTTTTCAGAATACGAAAACTCGTCAAGGACAATAGTAGAAAAATTGTTTTATTTTTACAAAAATTGTGTTTTTTGAAGATATTTATTTTTATTATTTTTTTTTTTTTGCAACATTTTGTTGAAGCTTATCGTAATAAAAAAAAAAGTATTGTTATAATTGGTTATAATTTTTTGTTTGTTTATTTTTTGCCCCCGTCGAATGAAATTCTTGGGTGCTCCACTAAGTGTTTAGACCAGTTTGTGCGCACCTCAACTAATCCCTCAAGGCTTTGAAGTGAACGGCCGAGTAAATTCCCTCAGTGGTCACCCCTATTAGTACTTGAACAGACTCGAACTCAAGAACCCATACTAGACTCTCTTACTTTTTTATCATCAGGCCACTAGTGGTGATTAATCCCCTCAATTCCTCTGTTCCACACCTTCCCTTGTCTAGGATCACCCAATTTGCATTTAATATGTCCCCTGAATGTAAAATCCTAATTAGTCGTCTCTTTGACCCCTCATTCAATAAACATTATTATATGTTGGCCCCCCCAAAATGTATTATCTTAAATTATGTGGTATGTGGTTCCTCGTTCAATGAACATTGTTACTTTTGGCCCTCTATAATAAATTTCCTATTCTACCCCTAACCAGACAAACAACAGTGCTATAGATAGTTCAATCCAATCTAGTTTATGTATAGGTGAGGTCAAAAATGTTATTTTATACTTTTTGGGATGTCATCATCAAGCAAGTTTTTTAACAAAACTACCATTAGGTAGCCAAGTGATCAACTAGGATTTTTGGATGTATTACTTAAGAGGTCTTAAGTTTGATTCATCTTGATCCCTACAGGGGTGGTCATTAGAGCTCTTACCTAGACTATAATTACAAGGTCCCAGGGATTATTTGAGGTGACACCGCCGATCATTAAAAAGAAAAGTTTTTAAACATAAAACACAGACAAGAGAAACGATCGTTATATGTCTAAGATCAAAACCTTTAATCATTAACACAAAAGAAGGCTTGAATAAGTGGCGGATCCACATATAAGCCCCACGTCTGTTAATGGCTCTATATGCAAGAGATTTTTTTTTTTTTTTTTTTCTTGTTAAGTAGGTAAAGTAAACCAAAAAAAAGAAATGTTACAAAGTAACACGATCTGCTTAAAGGCCAAAGAAAACAACAAAAGACACCAAAGGCACAAAGGCCCAAACATAAGACCACGCAGGCTCGAACAAGGGACGACCTCCCAAAGAGCACAAAGGCTAGAAAACCAAAATCAAACAAGGCATCGATGTCCAAAAATGAGCATGCAAGCTCAAACCCAAAGCTTAGAAAAGGCACAAATGCCTAAAGGAGCATGCAAGCTTAACAAAGGAAAGGAAAGAAACTATGATCACCACCCTTTCTTCTTATTCTTCTTACCCTTAGATGTCGGCGGATCCAGAGGTCTAGAGTGTTGGGACTGGAGCATGGGCCACTCCATGTAAGAGTGGAGATCCACTTCGGCATCTTCGGCGTTCGAGTTGTAGTGGGCAACGAATACCATGGCTAACGACCCTTCCCGACCATCCATAGATGAATCGTCACTCGGCTGGTCACTCGCCATCTTTTGAGGCATTGAAAGGCAAAGGATCACTAGCTTCAATAATCGGAGCACCACCTGGAAGGACTTCCTCCGAGTTAGAAGCCAAAGAAGTTTCTAGCCGAATGATATTTGGGGAGTTGGTGCTCATGCAGGGGGGTCTTTGGTGCCCCGAGAGAGGTTTTAGTACCTCCTTAGGTGAGTGGCAAACATGGACAAGCTCACAACATTTTGGACAATGCTTTGGTTGCCATTCATGCTCAATTTCAATTGGAAGTGGGTTTTGATGGTATACAAGCATAAATTGGTGTAGAATAGGTTTGGAAACATCAATGTCCACATACAAACCCGAGCATAATCAAGCTGGGTAAACTCATATGTCGCTTTATCACATGAGTCAATCTAAAAGTTAATAGTTTTTATTTTTGATTTCGAATACAATTATATTCCTATTCCTAATTGTAATCATAAATAAAAACAATTACACATAGAAACATACAGTATTAGGAAAACCTATTTCATAATGTAATACTAATTTAGATTGAATTTGACTCCGCAATCTCAACATTATTCAGCCAAGAAATTCGGAAACAATTCATCTTATTTTGACGTGAATTGTATATATATTCTAATGTATTCACAAAGTGAAGACGAGAGTTTTTAAGCAATCTGTGTGTTCAAGAATCTCGCTTATCACGTTTGACTTATCCTATCTCGCTTACAGCAGTGTCAAGATCCCATCTCATAATTCTACAATAAGTTTACTATGGATTTAAGTAACAAAATGTTTGATGTTCAAGACAAATATATATTGTAAAATTATCATGAATATATATAAAAATAATTTCTGAAATGAAAACTGCTGTTAGCTCATATATGCATGACGCAGATGAATAAATAATAATATTAATAAAACAAGCAAGGGTTGTTGATGACAATACAATGCGAATTCACAGCTTAGATCCTCCTCTTCTGCGACAATATGGATCTCGGACTTGACAAGAAAAGTACTTGCAAATCAAAGTTAACTATTCACTTTCATGAGACTAATTAATGGCTTAATTAATTTATAAAGAATTTGGTAGCTATATACTTTTAAATTTTTTTTTTTTAAATTTTTTTTGACGGGAGATGTCTGAGCTAATTTATACGTACCTTAACTAATCTCTTGAGACCTTGAAACTATCGGTCAGATAAAAACTCTAGTGATCACCTCTTTTAACAATCGAGGATGGACTCGGAGATATATACTTTGACTGAGTAAAGTTGAGAGATCAGTGAACATAAGTTCTGTATTAGCTCAATAATTAAGTTTACGAAAGATCAGTGAGCATTATTTGTATTAGCTTGATAAGTTAACAGAATAATATCATTGTCTTAGGGTGCAATAGTTTTGAGAGTTCTACATTTACAGTAATGCTATTCACCTCTCTCATTATCCTAAAATCAAGATAGTGGTGACGCACACACAATCATTCACGTTACTTTGGGATACAAAATTGGGATCACATCTTTATATGTTTACATTGGAGTTAATGACTTTTTTCCACCCAAATAATAGTTTAATGACACTTTCTCACCCATAAACTTTAAAATACTGTTTTACTACCTAAATTTATATTCCGATGACGAACAAAGAACAAACTTGCTTTAGACTGTTGGGGCTTTTGAAAATAGGAGGTTGATGAGTCTTTTGGTGGTTGACATTGATTAGAATTTGACATGAGAGAGGCAGCTGCGCAAACCCTAATCGCTCGATTACGGGCGATTGGCAGGGTTGACGGGAGTAAGGTTTGAGAGATTTTGATGATTGATGATCGAGGAAGAGAATAGTAATAGTGTGAGGTCGCAATGATGTCGAAATATGAAATAAAATATAAATTTAGATAATAAAATAATATTTTAAAAGTTTATGGGTAAGAAAATGACATTAAACTATTATTTGGGTGGAAAAAGCCGTTTACTCTTAACATTCTTGTTATAATATTTATCCATAAAACTTATTTATTTATTCTTTTTAATTTAAAGAAGTTTAGACGGGTGATATCTTTTTTCTAATAGTCTTAATGTAATAGTTTGATACTTATCCAGTTATCAAACTTTCTCTTTTCTTCTAATTTTAATGTTTTTAATTTACTCAAACACTTGTCACATCAGCATATATAATTCTGATTAAGTTACATATACTGTAATTTCGATTTCTTGTTCACCACGTATTCAATTATAAATGCAATGGATAAAAGTTTGGATTTGGCTAAAAGGCGTCAAAACGAAGAGTTCGAATCGTCTTGAAACCAATAACTCATTCAACTCTTACCAAAACACTGTTTACTTCTCTCTTTTTCTTACGTATATTTATTTAGCTTTTCTCATCACACTTAATTCATCATCCTTTTCTGTTTCTTCCCCTTCAATTTCCATAACAATGGCAGGAGGTTTCGGCATTGAAGCCAGTAAGGCTGACAAAATATACCCCGGCCACCTCACTCTTTACGTAATGGTAACTTGTATTGCTGCGGCTTTCGGTGGCTTGATCTTCGGATATGATATTGGTATCTCTGGTAAGGCCTCGACTGTAATATAATTATCAACCGAATTACATATTTTATTTTGTTTTTATCTTATTTTAATCGAATTACAATTTTTTTTTCAGGTGGGGTGACGTCTATGGCTCCCTTTTTGCAAAAGTTTTTCCCGTCTGTGTATCATAAGGAGGCCATAGATAAATCAACCAATCAATACTGTAAGTTCAATGATGTGAACTTGACGATGTTTACTTCTTCTTTGTACTTGGCTGCGCTTGTTGCATCCTTTTTTGCATCATGGGTGACGAGAACATTGGGGAGAAGGATGTCTATGCTTCTTGGCGGTTTGATCTTTTTCTTTGGAGCTCTTCTCAATGCTTTTGCTCAAGCTATCTGGATGCTAATCGTTGGTAGGCTTTTGTTGGGTTTTGGCGTTGGTTTCTCCATTCAGGTATATGAATAAATTGTATTTCTGAATTAGTTTATCCAATCAAATTTAATGATATTGTGATGCTTACTCTAGTTTAATTAATTTCAATTGCAGGCAGTACCATTATACGTATCAGAAATGGCTCCATACAAGCATCGCGGTTCTCTAAATGTTGTCTTCCAGTTAGCCATCACAATCGGCATATTCGCTGCCAATTTGGTTAACTATTTCACTCCCAGAATCAAAGACGGCCAAGGATGGCGCTACAGTCTTGGCGGTGCCATGGTTCCTGCCGCATTCATCTTCGTCTCTGCATTATTTCTCCCCAACTCCCCAAACTCCATGTTGGAACAAGGTGATAAAGAAAAAGCCCGAGCCATGCTTAAGCGTATCCGCGGCGTCACCGACAAGGAAGTCGAGGCGGAGTTTAATGATATATTGGCCGCCAGTGAAGCATCAAAGCAAGTGAAACATCCATGGAGGAACCTTCTAAAGAGACAGTATAGACCACAGTTGATCTTGGCTGTTCTCCTTCCTTTCTTTCAACAAATAACTGGAATCAATGTCGTCATGTTTTATGCTCCTGTGCTGTTCAAAACCATCGGTTTCGGAGACAATGCTTCACTCGGATCTGCGCTCATTACTGGTATTATCAACATGTTGGCAACGCTTGTTTCAGTCTATGGGGCAGAAGGGCTTTGTTCCTTGAAGGCGGAATTCAACTGTTCATATTCCAGGTAATGAAAGTTCTTAATCTCTAGTTTGTCTGCTAATTTCGATTAGCTTATAGAAACTTTTTCACTGTTTGGCTGCATTATTTTTCCCGAAATCTCCATTCTTATAAGTTTTACTGAAAAAATCTTTACTCTTATAAGTTCTAATCTAATAATTTCTAGCTCTAATCTAATAAGTCCTTCCATAAGCTTTACATAAAGAAATCTTAACAAACAGAACATTCTTTCTACATGTAGGTTCTGGTATCAGTTTTTATCGGATGGAAATTTGGAGTATCTGGAAACGTAACCGAGTTGCCGAAATGGTACGCAATTCTTGTAGTGCTCTTCATCTGCTGCTACGTTGCTGCATTTGCATGGTCATGGGGACCTCTGGGGTGGCTAGTGCCGAGTGAAATATTTCCTCTGGAGATTCGATCAGCTGGACAAACCGTTGTTGTCACCGTAAACATGTTGATGACATTCCTAATCGCTCAATTATTCCTCAACATGCTCTGCCATATGAAGTTTGGGTTGTTCATCTTCTTTTCATTTTTTGTTGCCGTCATGACCGTCTTCATCTACTACTTCTTGCCGGAGACCAAGAACATTCCCATTGAAGAGATGCAACATGTTTGGAGACAACACTGGTTTTGGAAGAGATTCATTCCCGATGAACGTCCTCAAGTTTAATTAATTTAGTTTTATTTTCTTAATTTTTCTAGTTAATTTCTTCGTTAATTATCTTTGGGTAACATTGCCCTTTAACAAAGTATACACTGATTATTGCTGCGCATTATTTCATTAATTCATCGATTATATATATTTTTCTTCTGTTATATATACAGTATAAGGAAGTGTAATTTGTTAAATAACTTAACGTTGGATTTATAATTCTTTACTTTAACGTTATCCGAAATTTCACCTGCTTTTATGATAATGGTTATATTTAAATTTAAGGCTGAGGTCTTATCCAAATTCCTTAAAAGTGAGCTCGTAATGTTAAGAGTAATACTACACTCCCAATCCAATCTCACAACTTTGTTTTACAATCCTAACGTGATAGTTGAGTTTGCAAGTGTCTCCCACAATACTCAACTCACTAAATGACTTTGACTAAATATAAAAGTTTTTTCTTAAGGACGAACGATCATTCTTCTTTTATAAGAAATAATCGTTCCTTCGTAAGGAATGATCGTTCATCTTTCTAAGAAACAAAACCGTTCATGTGTTTAGTTAAAGTCATGAGTTGACGTGATAGTGTTAACTTTAATGCCAGTATTTTTTTAATGTTAAACCAAATTCAAATTATATTATATTTCTTGTTATTTGATCAATAATATTTATCAAAAGTAAATTACATCATAACCCCGTCTATTATTCAATATAAACTTCTTGAAAAAATCTCTCAACTAATCCTTCTTCATTAATATTTCAAGACTTGGTGTTCTTAATCTGAAACACAAAACCATAAATTCAATCCTAACCAGAGATCAGCTATGACAACTTTTAAATTCGTATAAGTGGATTAAATAATCAGATACTCTATTTTCTAAAACTAACAATCCTCAAAGATACAGTAGATTATGGTTTTTCAGTAAAAAAAAAAAAAATGGATATCACCAAATCCATGTTTTATTTTATCGATCAAATCTACTGAGAGTTATCCATTAATATCAGGCATTTATCCCTGAATTCTTCCACCAACTTTTCCGTATATCTTGAAGAAATATTTTTAATGATATGCTTAAGGAAACCACCATTTTCAAAATTGATTACCAAATATCTTATCTAAAAAAAATTATCACACCTCGATCTATATAAACACAAAGCCCCTCCTTATTTCACCAGTCTTTCGCTTAAGGATTGCTACAATAGATACAAATGGCTGGAGGCTTCGGTATTGAGAGTAGTAAGAAGGGGGTTGAATACCCCGGTAAGGTTACTTCTTATGTATTGGTAACCTGCATTGTTGCTGCTATGGGTGGGTTGATCTTCGGTTATGATATTGGTATCTCTGGTATGTCAGTTATGCCTCATTTTGAATGTTAAGTTTCATGCATTAATCAAGATATATTATACTTAAAACTTTGTTTTTCCTTTCATTTTGATGATTTTAGGTGGGGTGACATCTATGGCTCCGTTTCTGATAAAATTTTTCCCATCTGTTTACCACAAGGAGGCCTTAGATAAATCAACCAATCAATACTGCAAATTTGATAATTTCTACTTGACTATGTTTACTTCTTCTTTATATTTGGCTGCGCTTGTGGCGTCGTTTTTTGCATCATGGGTGACGAGAAAGTTGGGGCGAAAGGTATCCATGATGCTTGGTGGTTTGATCTTTTTTGCCGGAGCAGCCATCAATGCCTTTGCTCTAGCCATTTGGATGCTCATTGTGGGTCGCATTTTGTTAGGTCTTGGCGTTGGTTTCTCCATCCAGGTAAACCCTTCTTACTAATGTGTTTACTTCTACTCTCCACTCATTATAATTCTCAATCTCAAGTAAAAAGAACTCGTTGAAAGTTCGTTTATGATGAGAGATATATAATTTTTTACTCTTTCAAAACATTATAAATCATGTATTTCAATGAGAATTATTCTGTTGATTTTCTCATTAAAGTCATGTGGTCCGAGGAACTGTTGAATTGGAACTAGAGACTTCTTCTGCAATGCAATATATTTTAGCCACCCGAACCTTTAATTAATTTATGTTACTAACTCTTGCCAAATTATTTCAGTCTGTACCACTATATGTCTCAGAGATGGCTCCATACAAGCACCGTGGTTCTCTAAATATAGTCTTCCAATTATCAATCACAATAGGCATTTTCGTGGCGAATTTGGTTAACTATTTCACTCAAAATATCAAAGGCGGCGAAGGATGGCGCTATAGCCTTGGCGGTGCCATGGTTCCTGCAGCATTCATTTTCTTTTCTGCATTATGTCTTCCCAATACTCCAAACTCTATGCTTGAAAGAGGCGACAAAGAAAAAGCCCGAGCAATGCTCAGACGCATCCGCGGTGTGTCCGACAAGGAAATCGAAGCGGAGTTTAACGATTTACTGGCCGCCAGTGAAGCCTCAAAGCTAGTGAAACATCCATGGAGGAACCTCCGAAAGAGACATTATCGACCACATTTGGTTATGGCCGTATTGATTCCATTTTTCCAACAACTGACCGGCATCAATGTGGTCATGTTTTATGCTCCTGTGCTGTTCAAAACTATTGGATTCGGAGACAACGCGTCTCTCGGCTCTGCAGTCATCACTGGTATTGTTAATATGATGTCAACTTTTGTTTCCATCTACGGGACTGATAAATGGGGCAGAAGGTTCCTCTTTCTTGAAGGTGGAATACAAATGTTCATATTTCAGGTAATTAATAAAAAATTGGATTTTTGTTGCTTTTATTTATTTGTTTTTTATTCAGGAGGACTTAGTTCTTATGGTTTGCTTTCACAAAAGCCAATGTTTCAAGGACTGACGGGAGTTCATTTGGTTTTTTCACTTTGTTAATTGTTGCATATTTATATATGCAGGGTCTGGTGGCAGGTTTTATTGGGTGGAAATTCGGATTAACTGGTCAAGTAACCGACTTACCGAAATGGTATGCAATTATTCTAGTGGTCTTCATTTGTGTGTATGTTTCTGCATTTGCCTGGTCATGGGGGCCTCTTGGATGGCTAGTGCCGAGTGAAATTTTCCCACTGGAGATTCGATCAGCTGGGCAAAGTATTGTGGCTTCTGTAAACATGTTTATGACATTTCTGGTTGCGCAGTTATTCCTGTCGATGCTTTGTCACTTGAAGTTTGGTTTGTTCATCTTCTTTGCATTTTTCGTCGGAATAATGACTGTATACATCCATCTCTTCCTGCCGGAGACCAAGAACATTCCCATCGAAGAGATGTCGAGAGTATGGAGAGAACACTGGTTTTGGAAGCATTACGTGCCTGAAGTGACCACTGACGTCTAAAGTTGAACTTTTGTTAGTTTCAGGAATAATTTTTATCAATTTATTTATTGTTCTTTGTTCTAGCTGTTTTACTCTTCTCAAGTTTATAAAACCAGTGTTCCTTATATTTTCCATCCTGATATGAACTGTAATTTTTTTCTCATAATTGGAAGAGATGGTTTTGTTTTTTTAAGCTCACCAATATCAAGGCGAAGGCCATCAAACTTTCTTCTATTTTACTTTTTCGAATTCGGAAGGTCTAAAACTTAAGTGATTAACTATTTTTAAATACAAAAACACTTACAATCACTAACCAATTTTACTAACCCGCATACCAACCTAAAGGATAGTACAGGTATCATATATATAGTACGAATATCATATATAATTTTAATAAAGATTAGTAAGATGGTTAGTAAAAAGTGTTAGTGAATGTAGTATTACTCTTTTAAATAATCTGGCCGTCAACAACCCAAAAAAAAAAATTTAGTGGTCAAAGCTAGTCAAATAGAAAATGAGATCGACTATATATTTGGTAAGCATCGGGTGTTTTTGAAACCAAGGGGTATGTAACATTTTTTGCGATAAATTGGGGGTCAAAAAATACTCTGCCTTTAATGCAATTGACCGTTGACCCAAAAATGATGACTTGGCTGTAAAAGCAATCATTCATAGGGGAGCCAAATCTAGTGGCGTCCGATGCAAATCTTAGTGGGGCCTATTCCGAAAAGGTCGGGCCGTGACGGATTGAGTTATTCATACGTGGCAAGATCCCAGTGGGCCATCAACGATAAGGCAAGATTCGTTAGATTTCGTTTTGTGTTGTTTTCAAACCTAAGTTTACCCATCATTATTACTCTGCCAATGGCATATAAAAAAACCAAAACTTCCATTAATGGAACTGGAATCTAAATAAGTACTTTGAAAGTACAGAAACAACTTCAACTTCAAGAAGTTTTGCTCAGAGCTAGCTCTCTCCTCTGTCTTCAGCTCCAGCAACCATTTTGTCTTCTTTAAACGGTACATAACTGCCCAACTTTCAACTCTATCGCTTTTCATTTTTACTCGTAAGCTTTTTTTCGTTTTCCCATGTCAAGTTGTTTCTTAGCTATCTTCAGTTTCAGTATAAAATAACAAACCTGTTTTATATGTATTAAGATAACCAAATGTGGAGTTATGATATATCTGTTGGGTGGAGATCTTTGTTTTGCACATAAAAGAATCCTAGCAGAGTTTAGTAATCATCTGCAGTAGATGAAAAAGACCAACATTGGTTTTCAGATTTAGTAATTTTTTCAGTTTTAGTGTTGGTGTATAGGTGCTCTGTTTAGCTTGTTGTTTGGGTTCTATAAGGTGGTCAATTATAGTTTGATTGAATTCAGTTTACTGTTGATGTTCTTTTTATCAAGTAATCTAGACCATCTAGTTGTCCATTTTGAATTTAGTACTTTCTGTTGAATTGAGCAGAATTGTGTTACTTACTTGAGAAACATTTAAAGCTATGATACTATATTTTTTGCCAATTCGACAGTTAGGATTTCTCAATCACTATGCCTATGTTGAAATTAAATACCCAAATGGTTCATATATGTGCTTAAGAATCCTTCAATATTGGTTCTGCGACCCCAGTACACTAGAGAATTTTTTTCCGGGTAAGTCCATGGAGAAATGGACTGATATAGTATATCTAATATGGTAAACTCGAGAAAAATACACTAATATGGTATTCGTAGAACTTTGAAATTGTTGCTTGCATTTATCGTTGTTGCAGTTTATGTACCTTGAAGGCATATAAAAGTTCTCTTTCTGGTGTTTCCTTTTCTTAATTTTCAACCTGATAAAAGTTTGAAATTTGTTAATTTTGTGACATTGGAATGTATAAGAAAGCTGGTTTGATTTACATCTATCTTTGCCTAGAGATTAATTTGTTCATACCATTCTATTTGATTCTCCTCTCAACTTTGTGTGGCCGAAATTTCGATTTGCTACAAAATTCACTCTAATGGAACTTCTTCCTATTTCATGTTAATAGGAGCTGTGGTTGATTCTTCATGTACGGCTGCATTACCCTCACTGGGCGTTGTAGGTTCTCTTCTACTTTCAATGAAGACATTTGTAAGAAATGGCATGTGTTATATCCTACTGCTGATACTTTAACAAAAGTGAAGAAAAAGAAGCTAATCAATGCATCTGGTGGAGCAATTTGTTGTAGAGAAGCTCTTCCTCTGCAAAATGTGGCTGAAACACCTCTCCCACGGAGGATATATAACATGACAAGTAATGTAGCGGGGTCCTTATCGAAGAGAACTTCACCAACAGAAAATATGCGCATGGTGTGCTATGCGTCCGAGTCTAGTAATAATGAGCGACAACTAAGATTGTTGGAGTCATATTTTGCCAAACTCAAAAATGATGCAAATCAGACTTCTGCTGATTCTTCGAACAAGAAGACAGACTTAAATCATAGAAGCGGCAATATCAATGCAAAGAATACACTAGGCTGTCTAGATTCTTATCTGGAAAAGCTTAACAAAGGTAGCCTCTCATATGCCAGCTACTTGTATTGTAGCCTTCTTTCAGTTTAGATGATAACAATTAAATACTGGAGAAAGAAAGAAACTACAATTTTTGTACTCATAACCTGATTACTTCCTCTGACATTTTGAAAAAGAGGCCTAGAAGCTATGCCAAATATTATGTTGAATCATTTGAAGTTTGGTTAAATCCTGAATTGTCTCTGTGACTTTGTTTATCATGTTTGATATTGCTTAGAAATAAGAATAAATTATTAGCCTACCATTTGTAGATACCTTACCATTGTTCACAGCAGCTCTAGTTCAGTATTAGGGGCTTTTGACCCCTATGTTATGCTAGATTCACTGGACATGCATTACGAGTTTCTCCATTATATTCAATACGTAGTGTAATTCATTAAAATCCATCTTCATTTCGTCAGATTTCCCCATTTCTTTTCATAACATTCACACTCAACTCACCTGTTCCTTCAGAGTGCTGATGCTCTTCTCCAATCATGTCAAAACGATTTCAACAGCCATCCTTTTTTTTTATTCTCAGCTTTGAAGAATTCCTAAATTTTGAATTGCATTCATTTTAAGTGCTGTTGTATATTTAGAGTCTCCTTTCCTCTTATTTATGATAATGTGATTCAACTATCATTGACTGCTCAACATTAGCTATGCTACAAGGAATAAGACGTCTCAATTCTGTCTTTCAAAGTGTTTCATCTAGTTTGTTAGTTGGTGTGCTTACAATTGCTTTGCTCCAATTGATCTGTACTTCTATGCAGTTTTCAGTGATATATTGACGGCTTATTATCATTATTGTTTGGTTAATTTTATCTCCAGAGAAAATACGTCCTTTTAATATTCTACATATTTTTCTTTGCATTATTACATTTTAAGTAGTTACCTTGGGATCCTTTTTTCTTTCAGATCCAAACTTCCAAGACAATGTGTTATCTACATCTGATGACCAAACCACTGAAGGCAATCAGGTTGGAACACCTTTTTCTATCAGCAAAAGTTCTGAAAGAGGTGTCAAGGGAGAATTGAAAGGTTACAAGAAGTTCAAAAGCAGGGATGGCGTAAATCGTTTAGTGAGGCCTCAGACTTTACCGCAAAATGATAAAATCTCTGATCTCTACTTAGTGTAAGGCATTATTTATTTGACACAGCATAATTTCCTTGATGTCATTTATCTTCTTAATGTTCTGTACAATGTAGCTGGAACTTATTCTATGTTGATGTTTCTTTATTCATTTTGACTGCAGAGGCGCATTGGCTTCCATAAATATTGCAGTTTTTTTGTTTGATATAGCCAGTCCAGTCAGCAACTCTGAATTTGAGCTCTTTTCTCTTCCATTATTGCATGGCGCAAAGATTAATGACTTGATCCTGGTTGGAGAGTGGTGGAGGCTAGTGACGCCTATGTTTCTGGTACAAGATTGACAATTGGGTTCGTGTTCCCATTCTGTTACTGTTCCTGCATTGCATTTGACTAACAGCTTGAAACCAGTTCTGAACATTGTTCAAAACTGTTAGGCACTGATTTTTGTTATTGGATTACAGGAGATGCTCTTTAAAATTAAATGACCTCAATTTTATCCATCATAGATAATTCTTTCGTTAAAGTTTGAAGTTTTATTCTATAAGAACTTGGATGGATTACACACTGCCAATGTAGTCATCATTGTGAAACGGAGCCATTAAATATGAAATTGGAGTTATGCATGACCTGAAGCATTTATGAATTGAACTTTTTTCAAATGTTGTATGCAATGAATTGAACTTACTTTACATGCCTTATGAGAAGCATTGGCTTGATTGCATGTCATGAAATTTTTCATTACTGCCCTACAAAGCAGGAATTGGTTTCATTTTTTTGAAATTCTTATGCCTCCTTAATTCTTAATTTGGCTCTGAGATACTGATTATACTGCCTTGTGAATATTATGCAGCACTCGGGGCTTTGTCACATAGCTCTTGGTTGTTGGGCGCTTCTTACTTTTGGGCCTCAAGTTTGTAAAAACTATGGTTCATTTACATTCTTGTTGATATACACACTTGGAGGATTTTCTGGCAACTTAACAAGCTTTCTTCACACACCAGAACCAACTGTTGGTGGAACCGTAAGCATCATTCCAGCTTTATCGTTCACTGTTCTTTGATACCTTAACAAGATGGACCATTAAGCTTTTTACATGACAAGTACATTGTTGCTTCTTGAAATCTACTACCCATATTTGTAGTTATACTCAATCTTTTATGAATTATCATGTTGCAGGGACCAGTTTTTGCTATAATTGGAGCTTGGCTTATTTATCAAATGCAAAACAAAGATGTGATTGAAAAGGATGTTTCAAAGAGTATGTTCCAGAAGGCAATGGTTGCCACAACTCTTAGCTTCATCATAAGCAATTTAGGACCAATTGATAACTGGTAAGACTTTACAGTAATTAGTAATTAGATCAGGAAAAATGACAATTTGCCACCCAAGGTTTAGTGCAAGTAATTTTTCCACCCAAAACGTTTGAAAAAAAAAAAACAATTTCTCACCCATAAGATCCCTTAGTGAGATTATTAACTAACATGGTATAAATAATGTAAAGACGAAAATACCGTTTAATATTTGAATCCAAATTTATACCCAAACCCAATAATCCAAATCCACCCAACCACCCCAAAATTGTCCATGCCCAATACCCTTTACTATTTTTGTTGAAGAGGTTTTTGTTTTTGTTGTCGGTGAAGAAGGCAGTCCAGAGGGGAGCGAAGACAAGATCGAAGTTTGTGAGGAAGAGGAAGGCGATTTTGGGCTTGGAATTTGACAAGGACAAGTGAGAGATTTTGGATGAGACGGCAGAGCGTTCAGAGGTTTGTTGTTGGGCAATGACGACGTTGTGGAAGAGGCAGAGATTGTTGAGGTCGTTAGAGAGGGCGAGATCTCCATTGTCTCCCTCCTCCATCTGCCCACACCTGGCCGGATGCGATTTAGGCCAAATCATACTTGACCTGGTGCGTTCCGGTCGAATCGCATTAGGTTGGTTGCGATTCTAGCATTGATCACTTAAATTGTCTATAGTTGTGTTGGTGGTGGTGCTGGAGGAGTTGTAGGTGGAGGTGGAGGTGGAGGATTTGGACATGGGGGTGGCTTGGGTGCTAGTGGTGGTGTAGGAGGTGAAGTTGGTGGAGGCATAGGTGGGGGAGGAGTAGATGGAGGCAGGGGTGGAGGAGCAATAGGTGGGGGTTCGAGTCATGGTGGCGGGTTTGGAGCTGGTGAAGGTGGTGATGTTAGAGGAGGAGTAGCATGTGATATTGGTGGAGGGCATGAAGATGGTCGTGGAGGTGGAATTGGGATAGGAATTGGAGTGAATTTAACATTCCGTCCTTCTTCGGTTAAAGTTAATGGACGGATCTTAACAATGGGTGGCAAATTGTTTTTTCGAATGTTTTGGATGGGAAAACTTATGCCAAACCTTGGGTGGGAAATTGTCATTTCTCTCGCTAGATCATGAATAAATTGGCTAGGTGGTTAAACCAATAGATTAACACGATAAAATTGTCGAAAATGTTCAAATTGATTTGTCTCTAGTTGTTCATCCAATAACTTGTTAAATTCTCCAAAAATGATTAATTCCTCTATTGGTAATTGTTGTAGGACACACTTTGGAGCTGCTTTTACTGGTATAATATATGGCTTTCTCACGTGCCCTACGCTACAAGTAGATGATGCATCTTCAAGAACAAATCAAGAAGAAAGAATTACACTTGTTAGACAATACGCGAATTCCTGTAAATCACTTGCTGTGTTCACTATCTTCATAATTGTTTTAAGCTCTTTCCTTTTTTTTATCGAACCTCCTCTTCTTACACTAGCACCTTAGATGATTCTATAAAATATTAATGGAGTAATACTACTGTTTTAAAGTTGTACCTCAAAATTTTCTTCTCACACTTTTTTTTTTTTTTTTTATATCACCGAAGATGTTTGAGTTAGATTGTGCGTACTTCAAATAATCCTCTAAGGTTTTAGAACTATCGACCAAGTAAGAGTCCAAATAATCACCTTTATTATTGTTTGGAAGAACCTCGAACTCAAAAATTTATGGAATCTCTTTTTACCATTTTACTATTAGACCAACTGGTTATTTTCGTCTCAAACTGACTTGACATTATTGTACTGATGATGGGATGATACCGTAATGGATATCAATAGTACCACATCAGTCTACAAATGGAGATATAACTTGGGAAGAGTATTATCACTTAATTAATATTAGATTAATAGAATGCAACATGAAAGTCCTATACTTATTTTTATGTAGCATGTAGGATTCCAGCTCACTTGGAAATGGAGACAATTGTGTAATATGTATCTGAATAAGCTCTTTGTACTAGTTGCTGCATCCTGTCATTTATATTTGCTCCATACTTCACACTTTCTTTTATCCCAAGAACTTCATGAAATTGATGTTAAATTTATTTGATTCTGACTGCTTATAATTTTTATTTCTGAGTTTGAATTCATTATTTCAAATCTCTTTGATACCTGGTTACTCTTTTTGTACACTCTGGTAGATAATTACCTCTCTAGGTTATGAAAATCAGTATGAGAAATTATTAGTTATCTTTTTTCAAATTTGGTAGAATCCATCACTTGTCTTCTTTTGACTATGAAATCTAATGTCAAATTAACATGATTAATAAGGAAAAACCAGATATTTAATAAAAGAGAAGTGTTAGTATCAATCGTGAGTGCGGTAGTAGTTAGAAACTTAGAATCACCTTGAGGTTATCTACCACATTTTTAGAGTATTCAATGGGTTTCAAGGGTTAGTTGAGATACACATAAACTGACTTAGACACCTCAGTCATAAAAAAATAAAAAATAAAAAAAATTAATGAATTGACTTTATATATTCACGGTACTAATAATATTTTGTCACATTATTTTGAATGAAAACTTTATAAGTATAGTGTTATTTTTTATGAAATGTAAGAGAAGAGCTACTTTGTTGACACCTCTTTTATGAAATGTAAAAGAAGAGGAGGTAGTGAATAATTTTTAATGCCTCTAAAGGTCTCAGTGAGATAAATGTAAGAGGAGGAAGTGATAATTTTTAATACTTCTGGGGTCTTGTTGATATTTGTTTAAATTTGAAGGAGTTGCAGTTAGGAGGGAAATTGTTATAGTTCCCAAGTTTCGCTGGGCTAATATTTTCAGCCTGCATCTCAGACTGGACCAGCAACGATCAGAACTTCGTCTCAATCTCTATAAAGCCTTAAAAATTTCTGTGACTGAAGCCCATGGTGGAGACATTAAAGAGACCTGTTTCTAAATATCAAAAGACTTCACCGATTCTTGTCATCTTATCTAATGTCTCAATCACGTAGATGCATGCATGGAGTCCACGTATATCAATGGATGACTACAGAAATCACACACCTGTATACTTACGCACTCACCTTGAAACCACGTATAATCATCTATAAAACCCAATAACACTTTTTTCCTCGTCATCAACTTCCGTAATTAAACCTCTTGAAGTAATGATTCTAGTGCCCATATGAAAATTTGTCTGTCTTGTTCAGCTTTAACATAAATAACAATGGCGATTGGTAGGTTCGGTAAGAGCCTAGTCAGCCCTCTGTTGGTAGTGAACTCGGTTGCAAATTTGATCATACTTGGACTTGCTGGATGGTCTCTTGACAAATACATCGATGGTGAACAGAATCATCCTCGTAATTAATCTCCCTCTCTCGACCTTTCTTGTGCTCATGTACATGTTAAGTAGATGATATATCTTTGTGATTTAGCTTACTGGGTTTGTTTGTGCTCTTAATTTGTATCTCTGAAAAAGATTTGGGTGGGAACACTTCAACGAGCTTCATGCTGATGTTTGGGTTGATTTGTGGAGTGATTGGCGTCTGTTCGGTTATAACTGGGCTTCTGCATCTTCGTTCATGGACTACTGATAGCTTAGCCGCTGCAATTTCTCAGGCAATCATATCCTGTTCTATTACTGCTGTCGCTTTTGGGTAAATATTTATTACATTTCTGATATCCGCAAATGAATTCAAGGACAAAATTAAACCGAAAAATTTCAGCATATCTACATTTTTGTATTTGCGCTATTTCTTTTTGATTGATTTTATAATGGTCTTCTTCAAACAGTCTTGTATGCAAAGAGATAATATTAGGAGGGCGCAGAGGAAAACGCTTGGTAAGTATTTGGAATTTAATATCTCATGTTCTTCCTCAAACATTTTGTATGTCTTTGGAGCTGTTGTATTGTTTCCAAGAAGCATGAAAAGTACTTCCAGAAAACTAACTGAAAAAGTGTATTGATATGACTTTCAGCAAACACTGGAAGCATTCATTATAATATCACTGCTAAGCCAGTTGCTGTATCTGGGACTTCTGCATGCTGGTGTTTTTAGCTGCAGAGATACATAAAGTCATGAGCTCTTGAATAGCAGGACTCATTGCATCTTTTATCTGAAAGATTTTCTTATAAAGATGAATGTTTTCATCTGTGTACACAACTTGCATTGTTTGCCTGTTTTTTATTTCCTATACATGACAGCTTGCAATTGGTGATCTCGTAATTGGACAGGCGAGACCTATTTGCGAGCTGTCACGTCGGGAATTGTGAGAAAAAGTTTGCAAGATGAGGTTGTAAGTACAGTATTGCCCCTGAAAAAGCTAACTTCATTTTCTTAAGAATCGTAAAGATCTTTTTATTTTTTCACTTCTGATCTGATTAAGGCAGAAAGCCACACTCAGGATCAGGCATGCATGTATATTTGAAATTTCTTGCTAGAGATTGAAAAGCATCAAGACAAGCAGTCACTTGACCAGAGCACACAAGATTCAGAAAAGGCCGGTAATTTTGTGCAGCACAGAAATGAATGGTAACCTATTTCCCTTTTGACTATGAGTAATCTCAACGCACAGGTAGTTTTTTCGGCACTCAAAATGAGCAAGGTAGGGAATAGAGCATCAGGTAGTAGAAGAACGATAACTATTGACACCAAAAACAGAAAGAGAGCTCCACCTAAAATTGTAACCTACAAGGAATACAAAACTGACATCAAATATCATTTCTTTACATGTAAAAACAGATGAATACACAGGAAACTGAAAATGCAAAGATGGAGAAGAAATAAAGAAAAATACCAGTCTCTCAGAAATCCTTGATGCTAAGGTCTTTCCTCCTAGAACAGCTGCAACTACACAAAGTGCTTGTCCACTGATAAAAGTAAAATTAATGATGATTGTAAGAAAATGCAGTTCCAGTTGAAGCTAAAACTATCATAAGAATAGCTTTCAGTTACAGTCAAATAAAGGTTTTGATCCTATTGCCATTCCTAAAAGGGAAAAAGCATTCTCAACAAGAAGATAAAACATACATTATTCCTCCAAGAACAACTCCCAAAGTGTTCTCATCTGCTGCCAAACCAATTGTGGCTAACTGCAAGAAATTTCAATATAAAATTTTAATTTAGCGTTCAAGCAAAAGACGATTCATGATTTAACAGGTGGGACTAGAACCTGGCTCTTGTCACCCCACTCGCCGAAAAATGTTAGGGAAAAGGCCTGTGGAAGAAAAAGGCCTAGATTAATAACTGGTCTATTTAGTTTTCAGTTACATAGCATGTCATTTTTTTTTTTCTACTAGAATTCTGTATTTCACATAGTGCAATTCTGCTGCAACTCATTCAATCTTCAAATCATTGGTAATAACAAATCAGTTTATAGGCTTGGTACAGAAAAAGGAGAAAACAATGAACAACCTTCAAAAAGACAGGTGTGAAAAAACGTGTGAAAA